AAACACACAAAGGCCACATACAATTTACCACCCTTTTTTGACAGTTGTTTATTTACAAAAGCTTGAAGAACAAAAGCATTATCTGTCGTAGAATAGCCCTCACGAAACCCTGCTTGAGGCTCTCTTATTTTATCAAATGTATTTACATAAAATGTTATTCTTTAAGTTAACATACAAGTATAAATTTTTCCTAATACATTTTTAAGTGATATACCTCTAAAATTACTTGGTGTATTGTAATTCCCCTTTTTATGGATAGTTATAATAACTGATTTTCCCAATGAGATTGGAAATTTAACAGTATCATATAACTGGTTAAAAATTTTATACAAAAAAGGTAAAAGAATATCAACTCCTGTTATGAAAAATTCAGGAATAATATTATCCTCCACTGGGCTTTTCCCACGTCTTAATGATTTAACGGCATACAAAATTTCTTCATCAGTAATTTCTGCATTAAAAATGGAATCTTCGATATCATTATCAATAGAAGCGTCATTAATACTGTCATTATCACCTAGAATGGTCTCACAATCACCATTAAATAAATTCTCAAAATAGATTTTCCATGCATCCGTAGTTATATTATTTTGAACATTTTCTCTATTTGAACTCATAGATTTAACCTTTCTCCAAAAAGCTTTGTGATTTTTACATTTTTCGATCAACTCATTTAACTTTTTTCATTATATTCCTGTTGTTTGTTTTGTTCACATATCTTCTTAAATCTTTTCCTAGAAAGTTTAAATTCATTTAATAATGCTTCAGTTTTGTTCCTCCTATAACTTCTTAAACATCTATTTTTCTGATATTCTAACTCAGGACAGTATTTATCAAACCATTTTGGTTGTTTTAACAATGAATGGTACAATTTAGTTTTTCTCATACAACAACTAGCACAGTCAAAAAGAAAATCATTAAACGATTTACAATTTGTTCAATGTCTGTTTCTGTGTAACAAATTCTACTACATATATTAACTAATAATTCGTAATTCATAAGTAATTGATCACGATAATGTTGACTATTTTCCTCATTAAAATTGTAATATACCATAGGTTCATTTCTTTTCAAACTAACTTCTGTAACCCTGTCATTAACACCAATATTATATCTTAATTCAAAACTTACAGGAAAATGAGGTGATTCAGTACGTGTTCCAATTTGAAATGAAGTAATATACTGTATAACATCGTCAGAAACAATAATATAATCAATAACACTACTCCCAGTGGGTCCAATATATGTGAACTCGCCTATATCCTTATCATCAAAAAAACGTCCATTAACAATTTTTAACATAATTATATGCTTTACAGAAATGAAGTAAATTATGACCAAAAGAGTTTGTCTAAAGGTAACAAGACTTTCTCTCATTAATTGCTTCATCTATAACAAATAATACTGAATAGCCATCAATATCGGGTGAATATATTACACTCTAAAATATCTTTTAGATTTCCTGTCCGAGCATTAAAATCACCTATTAACATTATATCTTTACACCCATTATCAATATATATTTAGTACTGAGTCTTCAAGCATATCTATACCTTTGTTTAACTTATTTAAATAATAAGGAGACTGTTCTAGAGGCAAATATATTAAAGAAAGCACACATTCGTTATGTGAAGACAGAATATTTTCACTTAGACTAAGTTTAAAAAATATACCAAAAATCACATTCTGGCAAAATACATGAAATATAATGCGATATAGAACATTTTACATACACCAATATTTCACCATCGCTCTACCGTACAGAGCAGTTAACCATGTTTCCAAAAAAAAAAAATATCAAACTGATTTAAATATTCCAACAAATCATTGTAAATTTTTTTATTTTTTATCCCATCAATGTTCCAAAAAGCTATATTTAATGTAAATACACTGTGAGGGCCTTGAACACATCCCTAAAACCATACTTGAATTGTAATTGTAAAGGTCTATATAAGATGATATTGGCCTGGCTCAATTGCCATTCTCAGACTTTTCATTCATATCACTGTATTCCACTGTTTGCTGGTTAAAGTTAATATCTTCAGGAATTATGCCATGTTCAATGTCAATGGTTTGTCTCGTTGCTCGTTTAAATACCCTCGCTCCTGTATTTTCTACACCTGCAACATTTATTTCCTTGGACCTTTTTTCTTCTACAACAAGTTTGCCTTTATGATAGTCTTTCCACTTTGATTAAGAGACCATAATTGAGAACGCTTTGTTAAGTCATCTCCTACACGAATTCCCGCACTGCGTAAAACATCACGCCCCCTGTATATTTTGAATTTATCATCATTATAACGTAACCCTACAAGCACTATTCCATCTTTGTTACGTATACGCTTAGCAAATTTAATGTCATCTGATGCCCAATTTTCACTAGGACATCCAACCTTAAACGCTGTTTTGATTATTTCACTTTTCAAAGATTCAACAGTTTGCAATGTATTGCAACTTCAGTAACTGATTTAAAAGCATAGTTAAGGGTCACTTTCCAAAACTTATAATTGTTACAAGGATTTTGACAGAATGATGGCCATTTTTTTAAATTTTTAAATTCTGCATTGTCCATGTTTTGTTTCATTATCGAGCAACGAAATATTCAAGCATATCTAACCGACAGATCTTATCCTTGACATTGATTTGTTTCTAAAACATTTCTCATTTTCAGTATTTTCTGTATCTTCACTGTAAAACATTATTTTCCATAATTTTACTGCGGTCTTGCCGAACAAAAATGTAACTTTCTTCTAAATTAAGTCAATACATGAAATTTCACAGAAAATGTCATTCAAATTGTAATGTCAAAAGAAAAGAAAAAGATATGTATATAATAAACAGAAAATTAGAATTTTCTATGAATACAGGATTTATCATGTGGTATAAAAATATCATATTTAACTTATGGCTACCGCCACTTATGAAATACCTATTTTCATATCACTTGATGAAAATGAATCAGGGCATGTGACATTGTCATGGATTTTGACAAGAATATTCTGTTGTTGTTTTTTATGTGTTTTTTTTCTTACTTGGAGATTTAGTAAAGAGTTTTGTACCACATACATGCCTTTTGAAATATTGCTATATGTAACCAGTCACCCTTTTTTTTAGTCAAGAGTACATAGCCCTGTAATGATTTTTGTAACAAAGAAATGCCTCTTTTTTCTTTTTAAATATTATCAAAACCTCTGAATCAGTTATCAAGCACTGATAAATGCTGAGATAGCTGACGATTATAGAAATTGTTAGAAAAACGCTTGTTGTTTACAACTGAATATTGTTTTGATGTGGTTGTGAACTGAAACAGAATGTCACAATTTAACAATAATAAAATTCAAAAAAGGAAGAAAAACGTTTTGTTAGCGTTGTTCAACACACCAGCGTTGTTTGTTCTGTGTGGAGGCTGAAAAAAGTCGCCCCGTAAATACAATCAGAGATTTTATTTTTCCGATACTTAAAGATCGTTCAGCAGGCACGACTTTATTGTTGTGCTGGTGGTAAGTTAGTTCTTTCTATTCGGCTATTTTCTTGTTGGGTGGTTCCAGAAAATAGATAAATACAGAATCCCTAAAGAAAGCCCAACACGGCAAAATTGAAAATGTTGCAGGCTCGGTTTGATTGAGCCTGTTCATGGACGGTACTGGAAAGTGCAAGTTACCGTCAACGCCCCCTAGCACCGGCTTAAGCAGAATTCAACATTTAAACATGAAATAGTAAAATTTTGAATTTAGAAACATCCGCAGATGTGTTCATACGGCGGTTATCATGGAACCTTCAATGTGACACTTCCGTGCCGTTCCATTAAAAGCGGCGTATGGTCCCCAAGTAATAAAAAGCGTGTGCCCCAAACGAGAAAACAATGGGCGGAACTAAATAAAATGGAATTTTGAAAGGGGATCAGATGTTATGAAGCCTGCGTATCACAGATAAGACGTCAAAAGACAAATTTAAAAAGCAGGCAACATATCCTAGGGGTGATTCAACATTATTCAAGTAGGAATATTGGAACCACCCAACTAGAAAATGCCGAAAAGTTGAAACTAAAAATACCACAAGCACAACAATAATGTCGTGCTGAACGATCTTCAAGGGTCGAAAATATAACATCATTGATTAGATGTACGGGGAGACTTTTTACAGCCGCCACACGGCACAAATAACACGGATGTGATCATAAAATAGATAAATACAGAATCCCTAAAGAAAGCCCAACACGGCAAAATTGAAAATGTTGCAGGCTCGGTTTGATTGAGCCTGTTCATGGACGGTACTGGAAAGTGCAAGTTACCGTCCAAGCCCCCTAGCACCGGCTTAAGCAGAATTCAACATTTAAACATGAAATAGTAAAATTTTGAATTTAGAAACATCCGCAGATGTGTTCATACGGCGGTTATCATGGAACCTTCAATGTGACACTTCCGTGCCACAAGTGAGGGTCCAGAAGTCCTCACTTGAATACTCTTGAATCTTCCATAGGATATGTGACCTGATTTTTTAATTTGTCTTTTGACGTCTTATCTGTGATATGCAGGGTTCATAACCTCTGATCGCCTTTCAAAATTCATTTTATTTACATTGTTTTCTCGTTTAGGGCACATGCATTTTTTTTACTCTGGGGACCATATGCCGTTTTTCACGGAATGGCACTTATGTGTCACGTAAAAAGTTCCATGATATCCGCCATATGAACACATCTGTGGATTCTAATTCTGAATTGTACCAGTTCATCTTAAATGTTGAATTCTGATTAATCGGGTGCTAGGGGTCGTGAACGGTAGTTTGCACTTGACAGTACCGTCCATGAACAGGCTCAGTCTAACCGAGCCCGCAACACAATATACCGTGTTGGGCTTTCTTCAGGGATTCTCTTTAAGTTTTTTAATCAAACCACCCTATTTCAAATTGGGACTGTATGTCAAAGGTGAAAAGAGTTCAAAATACATGTTAAAAACAAAATTTCTATCTAATATTGTTTTTTGTTTTTGTGTTTTTTTCAGGTAACGAGGCAAAAATAAGCCGTGCCAAGAAATGGAAACACTGGTTTATAGATGATAACCTTAACTGTGATATGGATCTAGTCTCAAAGACAGTCTATAAATAAAGGTGGTAAATCATGGACAAACTTCCCCTCACATCACTTTCTAGTCGAAGAACATTTGCACATGTTGCTTTTATGACAAAATGAATCTAGTTAAACATACATGTATAGTATTAAATGTTTGAAGTTCAGACAGTGTTCATTCTTTGTAATATTCAAAGAACAATTATTTGAGTTTATCAAAAAAGATAAAGCGCAGAAGTGTAATAAAGAACATAAACCCATTTAATAACAACGGCATTTCACTTGTGAAATTACACTTCAAATGGCGTGACGTCATCTGTGCAATATACAATTAAAGAGCCCTCATGTTAATATTACACTATTGTTACGACCTAAACGCAACATAGAAGAAGTTCAAAAATCTTCCCACACAGAATAACAGAATCCACATTAATGCATTACTATGTTAGTTTCACGATATCGTAAGTGCAAAAGCACACAATCAGTATATCAACAACACACAATAGCACAAATTAGCAACATCCCGAGAGGGGGCGTCCGTGGCCGAGTGGTTAAGGTCGTTGACTTCGAATCACTTGCCCCTCACCGCTGTGGGTTCGAATCCCGAAAGGGACTTTGGATTTTTCATGTGAGGAAGCTATCCAGCTAGCTTACGGAACGTCGGTGGTTCTACTCAGGTGCCCATTCGTGCCTGAAATATGCACGGAAGGGCACCTGAGGTCTTCCTCCACCAGTAAAGCTGAACGTCGCGATATGACCTATACTGTGTCGATGTGACGTAAAACCCAAAACAAACAAAACAAAAAAGCAACATCCCGAAGTACAAACATCCGCCATATATATATAACTACTTATGGTTAGGGTGAGAGTTAGCAAAAACCCTTAGAGAAAGAATATTTCAGAATAGACATGAAAAGAACTTTTTGAAAGAAGATGAATAAACATAAACAATTAAAAAATCAAATAAACAAAATTGTTAAAAATGATAGTGGCAATAGTAGGTCCTCGAGATTATCAGTCCTGCGCTCTACTTACTTGCCTATTCAGGAAATGCATACTAAACACATTTATAGATAATTGAAATTGCATTAATAACGACATCTTCGTAATATACTAGAAATTTGTAAAGGAGATATATTTAACGACAAATCATTGCAAGTCTCCAAAATGTCTTCAGTAGATGTCAATCAATATTGATGACATTAATAAAGAAGTATTTTCAGTAATTATTTGTTATTGCTCTGAATAATAACTGCTAAAGAAACAATAATTGCATTTAATAATAACTATGTTTAGGATAACTTGCAAAACAATGATATATGTTCTTGTCCGTTGCATGCCGGTATGAGGCCAAATATGGTATATAATGAAAATAAATACATGAATCTATTCATACGTCCGTCTTTATTAGTAAAATGTATTCATTCGCATTTATTTTTTATCAATTACGAAAATAATAAATATTTTAATCATTTTCAATTATGAATTATGTCGAAATGAATAAAGATATTTCAAGATATTATATATCAAATTGTAGACAAAAGTCAACTTAAATTTTACCCAGCTTACTCTGAAGCAGATCAAGCTTACTCAAAATAAGCTGTCTTACTTAAGCATTCGATTAGTCAAATTATTTCTAAATTAACTGAACTGATTCTGAATAAAAATTCCATATTCTAGATTTTCCAGATAACTTTAAGTTTACCCAGCTTACTCCACTTCGAAAAAGACAATTAAATAAGGGAATATACGGTACCGTATTGTTAACATATACGGGTGTGTAGGGATGTATTTGTCTAATATACGGACCAAATAAACGAGTGCGTATAGGGAACACTGGGTAAACGGGAAGTCTTTATATTGACAAGGCTTGTACATGATTCTCTATTTGTTCCATATACATGTACGTAAATTTGTTTGTTTTTTGTAGTAATGGAGATAAAAATTCCATATAGACTTTATACAGGCAATTTTTAGATATACAGTAAATAAACGGAACTGTTTTTTGTTAGAGATATGCATGTTTGTATTTTCTACATATACAGAGGATATACGGAGCCGTATTTTCTACATATACAGAGGATAAACGGCATCGTGTTTTTAATATATAAAGGGGATATAATTGTATTTGAGAGAATTACAGCCTTATATATGTTTGATTATTGTGACTGAGAACTATATATTCATATGCATACGGACGTTATCTTTGTTGGGAGTATTTGAGGTAATAAGGCTAAAACAAATTCAACTTACTTTGAAAAAACCGTTTGTATTCATTCATAAACTGAAAAACAAAAAGTATGCATATTTATACAAAATAAAAATGTCCACGCTACAACTGTGTAAGCCTAACAATTTGAAGTGCAACGATATGGTGATATACGCTTTTTTTATCATAACAATTATTTTCATGAACCGTGCTACACCCTTGTATTTTTAAAGATTATAAGTATGAATTGTTCGTGTTTACATTCTAATTAAACTTCAGGTAACGAAGGAGTAATTAGCGAAGATAAGTTTTAAAAATACTAATGTCTTCGAAACAAGAGGATAATAAGGAATTATCTAAATCATGTACGAGTGAAAGTACTAAATTGGACTTGTTACTACAGACAGTTATGGATATTAAGAAAAGTCAAGATAGCATGAAACGTATGCTCGAATCGAAATTAGAAAATTTCCGATCTGACCTGATGGAGAGCATCGATACGAAAATACGGGCCTTACGTGACGAGATGTCAATGGATATCAACCGAGAGAGTTATCGTTTAGAACAAGTCGCGAAAAACTGTTCAAGCTATGCAGTCTCGGATTACTACAATAAACAGACGCCGAGCTCACGCCAGACAGATGAAAATAAGTCACGTGATAGCACGGATCAACACAAACATGGACAGTTTAATCCAAGCGATTACTCAGATTTAACCGTAATGGCAAGTGGTATAAAATACACTGACGGGGAAGATTTGATGGCGGCAGCACAGGACTTGATAAGTGCTTTAGGCGATGACGTTTGTTTGAATGTTCTAATTGATAGTGTATGGCGGCTTCCGACACGGTACGTTAACCGCCCACCGTTAGTCAAAATAAGCTCTCAAAATGTCGACGAAAAAATACTTGTGCTGAGGCATTAAATGGCACTTAAAGATATAGACAGATATAAAGAAGTTTACATTAAGAGTTACAAGTCGCATATTGAAAGACTGATTGAAATGAATGCGCGAGCTATTTTAAAGGAATTACCACAAGGCAACACGTTAAGGGTAAATGCAAATGGACGTATCATAGGCAGAGTACAACAAGATGAGAAACAGAAACAGGAAGGACCCGTCTCAATGGCATAGTTAAATTTGCACACATAAATGTATGTGGTTGGACAAATGATAATAGTGAGCTTAGGTCGGGTATAATTGAATCCGTTAATGCTGACATTGTGTCAATTTGCGAAACGCACTTAAAGGGGAACGATAGAATAAATGTATTGAATTATACATGGTTTGGACATAATACAACGGAATTACACAGGAACGCTCCTTAAGCTTCTGAGGGAGTAGGTTTACTAGTGAAAAGCTCTATTTTTGAAGAGTACGAATTAAATATTATAGATAAATCGTATGACGGAATTTCAGTTGTTAAATTTATTCACAAATCGTGTGATTATGAATTTGTCCTATGCGCATGTTATCTGCCGCCAGAGAATTCGACCAGAGGAAGAGATTTCGAGGGATTTTTTTCGCATTTGTTAGCAAAGGTATATTTGAATAGTGACAGTGACGCATTATTCTTAGTGGGTGATTATAATTCACGGATAGTTTCACTTCCGGATAATATCAGTGGAGTAGACTCTTTACAAAACAGACAATTTCTGGTTTTTACAGTTAACCAAAATGGGCATGAATTTTTAGAATTCTTATGTGAAGCAAAATTTTGTGTTCTTAATGGTAGATTCGACGCTGCAAACGACAATTTCACATCCATATCACAAAAATGAAAATCTTTTGTTGACTACATATGTGTACCACACGATGTTTTGAAGATATGCTCGAATTTTAGTGTGCAAACTATTCAGTCTATTGTTGACAAATATAGATTACACGGATTACTAGGTGAAAAGTCGCGGTTACCGGATCATTGTATGATATTACTGGCTTTAGTGTGTCAAATACCGTTACAATGAAAGACTGTGATAACGTTAGTAGCAAGAATATTATTAATCCGACACGATTCAACTTAAATAGGATACCTTCGGACTTTATGGGGAGTGAACTTTCTAGGACAGCATTGATAAATATAATTACTAGAATTGAACTTTGCCGAGAAACACAGTGTGATATTGACACAATTTACGACACATTTTGTGAGACACTAATAACCGAAATAAATAATACAATGCCAAAATACAGTTCATCAAAGCACACAAGCAAACGATTCAAAACAAAAAAAACGTTCTGGGATGAAAATTTGTCACAGCTTTGGAGCAATAAGAATGCTAATGAACAGGCATACTTGAAATGTAAAGACATAAAAACCGTTCGTTACACTTTACGAATGAAATATATTGATGCAAGAAATATGTTTGATAAAACACTAAGACGAGCAGAAGGACAGTATCGTGAATCAATCGCCCTAGAAATAGAAGGTTTATCTTCAAATAATCATCACGACTTTTGGGATAAAATCCGGAGATTAGGACCAAGGCAGAATAATAATATACCTGTTGAGATAGTTGAAAATGGAGATATCATTACCGACGAAAATCGAGTCTTTGAAAAATGGAAATGTGACTTTGAAAACTTATACAATGGTGAAAATGTCAGTGATTTTGACGAAGAGTTTTTCAGTCAGAAAAAGATTCATAAACAATTAATCGAGTTAGACATGTTGGACCCTTTAAACACGCCCAATACACAACTGAATGGAAATATTACAATTCAAGAACTTTCTAGCATAGTAATGCAAGCAAAATAAAGATCTGCATCCGGTTATGATATGATCCCGTAAGCTGTAATTTAATTTTCTAGCTTAATAGCGGTCTTGCAGCAATTATTTCAACTAAATATGGATACTAGAATTATACCTCACCCTGGAGAAAATCAATAATCTGTCCAATTTT